TATATAATGTTAATTCAAAATTATTAGCAAGTAACAAATAGGTACTCATGTTTAAAAGATTTCAACAAGAAAAATTAATAACAAGTATAAAACTAAATTTATATTTTATACTATATAAATGAAGAATTTTTAAGAATTTAATCAACGTGTCGATGACGTATCGTGTTTGTACTTTTTTTAAAAATCGCGTGTCGGCGTATCCGACACGCATCATGTCGGACAAACGTGTCCATGTCGGTGCATCATAGCTTATCCTGCTCATAAGGTATTTACATTGTTCACATGAAGCAAGCCGAAGTCGAGTTAATTATTTGATAGGCATCATTGATAGATATATCACTATTATTAGAAACTTACACATATATATTGACCTCATTGAGTTTCAGCTAACATTTGTTTTTTGCCCCCATATTAGGTGAGACACGCATAAAAAAAAAAAAAAAATTGAGGATTCAGAAGTCACAAATTTGTCAATTGTTATTCATTTTATCTATTAAACTGTTTAAAGATTGCCTTTGCTTTGATAATGTTTACAAGGCTTGGTAAGTTGAGTATTACATCCTAAGAGTTTAATAATCTATAAATAATTTATATGTAGCGGTTTAACTCATATTATTCCCTTTGATAATTGGTATTCAGCAAGGGGAAAGAAAAGGAACTGTTATAGCAGCAACCTAAATCCTCATCAATACCAGTGTTCTTTTGCTGTTTCTGCTAACATGAGTACCAGTGTTGGCAGGGAGAATTATATACTGTAGAAATTCTGAACATGATTTATATATAAAATGAGGAAGAATGTTTTTTTATCTTTTGTACAGCTAGAGACAATATTTTATTATGTACAGCTAGAGGATCAGTTCTTCCATAATTATAGGAACAGATTTCATAACTTGATTTTAGTAGTAGATTGATATCTATGTTAGGCGTGTACCTATACACAGGAGTGTAATTCCTTGGTATTTCATCAATCAGAAATATTATATATTTTCAGTCCTGTACTCGTGTCTACAAGTCAAACACAGATTGTATATTCCAAGTCGAACATTTTCTTTTCCAGTTTTTTTCTCTTCCTTATCCGTTCTCCTTCACTTATGTTTCTCAATTGAAAATGTATGAATATAGTCTAATTTTGAATATCAACAACACGAGTAAGACAAGAAATCAAATGGAGCCAGTGATCAAACAACAAATGATATCTCAATTAGGAAGTTGATAAGCCCCCATTACATATTCTAGAATAGTCAAGAAGAGAAGGGGGGGGGGGGGG